ATATTAGGACAGAGGAGTACAGAGTCATCAGACAACATTGGCAGATAATGACAAGCTCAAATTGGCATCTCTATATAGAAGCTGTTGTTTTTATGCCTTAGAGATAGTTTAGAATCCAAATCATTTCCATGGTGAAAGACTACTTCATTGACTGGGCTTAGGCAGATCCAACCAGTGACTGACACACCTCACAAATTACCTAAGTATTTTTTTGAGGAGGGGGTGGGGGAAGAAAGATTAGTACATGCATTTCTAGATTGAGTTCATTCAGATGAAGGGGCAGCCAGTTTCTATGTAATACCTTATGAGTAAAAATAAAATTCTAGTACCATTGTTACTCACAAGGGGATCCACCATTGGAAAGCCATTTTACAGTACATTGTTGAACATCTTGGGAATTTGTGCCTTGATTGAGAGGGAAGATAAGGGAATGTAGACCTTTTCTACTCTCTGTGCACAGTGTCACTCAGATTCTTATGTGAGAACACTGAGTACTCATTGACTGCTATTTTAGGATGGGCAACAGGTAGAGAGCTGTGGCCATCTGCAAAATCCACAGAAGCAGAAGAATAAACTTCAAGTCCCTTATCTATTTTCTCTTTTAGTAGTCTATACGAAGAATATAAGTGACAGGTAAATATATTTCTGGGATCTGTAAACTATGAATGTAATTCTACTGAATGGCTTGTGTCTCTTGAGTAAGCATAAAACATATGAGTGCAAGATTGCACCTTGTGTAATAAGCACCAGTTTTGATCAATTTTGGTACAAGTTATACAGAAAAACAGGCACACAAATGTCATATTAAAACACTGCCCATTGAGAGGCTTGTGGAATGGAATTTAGATCCAAATTTGAATCCTTGTTAAAAATGCACAAGGCAAAGATTTTAAAAAGCCTTTTAAAAGAGCCAAAAAAGGCCATTTTCAACTCCTTGAAAGGTTGAGTTCGGCTCTTATGTTTTCATTAGTCATCCTCTGGCTTGATTCCAAGCCTTTGGCATACATTATAAATCATAACTTGGAAAGACAGCACAGATGAGGGGAGAATACGGCTTCTGAAACAGAAGAGTCTGGAGGGATGAGAAGGTAAGACTACAGGAAAGCTGGCCAGATATGAGGAAGCCTATGAGAGATTTATTCATTTATCTGGTGCTCATTGTTGTGAGGACATAATTAATTCTTCCATTCTCTGCCTTACCCTTGCTTTTGGCAGGGGAAAATATTCTCCTAGACTACCTACACACTGCTGTGGAAGAGTACACTTTGGTGTCAGAGCCTACGTGAGCCATCCTATTTATTCCAGAAGGCTCAGGTAAAGATAGGTCTGTGAATGCATGACTTTTATAGCAATCATCAGTCCCCAAAGTGAGCCTTTCATCCTGAGGGTGAAGAACCAAAGTTTTTTGTAGGAAGACTCTACGTTTGAGTCTAGATTGCATCGTCGACAAAATTAAAGTAGTAACATATTTGCCTTTAAAACATTAGGCAGGAATTATTGAAGCCATAATTGCGATGTACAAATAGAGTTGAAACACCTCCTGGGACCACCCTTAAACTTCCACCGCAGCAGTACAAGCAGAAACCAGAGACATGGACTTCACTGACTATGGCCTAAAGCATAATTATTAGCACTCAAGAAGAGACTGAAGATAGAGGTTTCTTATCCTGAGGGGAGAATCTTAAGAAAGGTTGAGGCCTGAGGGAGAAAGATGGAAAATTACAGAAAGGAAGTTAGCACTGGGGACGGAGAATGGGAAAATAATGCTCATGTGAGACACTCTCAGGTTTAGACTAAGCCTGGATTCTTACCCCCAAATCAGGAAGATGCTAAATATCACATCTAGATTACAATTTAAAACATTTAAAATGTTGCTTTTAAATTCCTCCCTTTGGAAAAGTTAAAAGTTGGTAAACTGAGGTAGACCAAAAGTAAATGAGGAGACTTTACATTATTAGCAACCCAGTCAGCAGGGTAAGATTAAATATGTTTGCCAGCCAATGTATGGTCAGCCCTGTTTCTGTGGGCTCTACATCTGTGGATTCAACCAACCGTGGATCAAAAATATTCACAAAAAAATCCCCCCAAAAATAGCAATAAAACAAAAAATAATGCAGATAAAAACCACACAGTGTAACCAATATTTACATAACACATTATATTAGGTATTATAAATAGTGTAGAGATTATTTCAAATATATGGGAGGATGTGTGTAGGCTATATGCAAATACCCCATTTTACATGAGGGGCTTGAGCATCTTTAGATTTTGGTATCCCTGTGGAGTTCTGGACCCAATTTCTTGGAGATACTGGGGGACAACTATATTCATAGTGACCAAGCACGGTTTGTTCTAAGAATACAAAGATAGTTTTATCATACCATCTGTCACCAAGAAGATAAGGAAAGCTCTGCAGAGATACTGTTGGATCACATTTAGTATCTACTTTCCATCAAGGTAATAAGCATGGACTGGACCTCATGTTATAGGACCTACCCAGAATACCTTCTACATGGTTACTGGTATGAGTAAATTGAACTCAGGGTAAATCTGCAGAAATTAGTTAATGCAGAATATTCTTAGAGTTAGGGATAGGAGTCTCTTTTCTGTATTCCCATGACATGGCTATTCCACATGGCTTACTTTGGGAATCTCAGACCCTTAAGAAAACTGTGCTGGACCACAGTAATGACTCAGACAGGAGTCAGAATAGGTAACCCAGCATTTGAGCTGCCCTAAGTATTTGAATTTGCTTGTGCTGTTTTAAAGCTTCCTTAACACACTGATGGGTGGCTCTACCCCATTCACTTCTAGCACTGCTCCCGCAGCTCCCTCTGTCCTGTCATAGAAAAGTGAAGACAAAATGCTGTGAGGAAGAGAACCTCCATTTCAAATCTAAACGTTTATTATAAGAAACAAAGTTATACTTAACATTACCTAACAATGGCCCCAAAACATTAAGATGAAGAACATTGTTCTAAGTGATAATTATTGCCTTTAAGTTTTTTTTTTTTAACTGTTCGACTTACTCTTCTTCACCTATTATACTTGAATTTTGTCTGTCAATCCCTATCTTTAGTGTCAGAACCCCTGAATAGAGAGAGACAAACTATGTATTTCATGCTCAAGTTTCGAGAGAAAATAAATATGTTTTTGACAACGTCTTGTGACCAGGTCAGCAAGAACTTACTCTCTGAAAGAAAAAGCTCAGGAAGGCCTGTATAGGAAAGTCATAAAGAAGCCTGTATCATGTCTATCAGAAACTTGGAGTCTTTTTTCTTAGACACATAAAACGAGTTGATGGGTGCAGCACACCAACATGGCACAAGTATACATATGTAGCAAACCTGCACGTTGTGCACATGTACCCTACAACTTGAAGTTTAATAATAATAAATAAATTAAAAAAAAAAAAAAAAGAGTCAATGGGTCCCATTCTTCTTTAAGTTTCTTTTTCTTTTCTTTTCTAATAGGGGGCTCAACCTCATTAATTTTCATGAAATAGAATCTAGAATGACTCTCAGGCCAACTGTAGATATTGTTACTCACTTGAAACAATAGCCACAAAAGCTTTTATTGGAGTCTTGAAAGCTGTGGATCTTTTTCCCAGAAGGTGCATATGCACAGGCTTGTGTTAATGTACACATCTACTATGATTTATAGGATGCTCTGAAATTCATCTATTTGAGATCAGGATAAGAAATCTGCTTCCTGGAGATCTGTCCATAGTAGTGTGCTAAGAGACAGATAGATATAACTAGTGAAGAACCACTGATCTCTGACACATTAGTGACAGGAGGTACCTTTCAGGGCAAATGGATGGAAGTACCTGCCAGGGCACATGGAAGGAAAAGGAGGTAGCCAAGGCCAGAGGAGACAAGACTGAATTCAAGCCACACTGTTTCCATTAGGCAATTCAGGGCTAAAAATGTCCATTTATTCCCACTTTAGTATAACTTCATACCACATTAAGCTACCTACAAATTTCCAGTTTGTAGGTAAAGAAAGTAAAGAAAATTCCAGGAGGAATAATGAAAGCCCTTTATTAAAAAGCAGTTTTAGCTACCATGGGGTAAGCATCTTCCCTAGAAAATAGAGCCAATGAATCAATTTTTCCATATTCACAAAGACCAGTTATAGGAGAAGCTTGAACTCCTTGAGGAACTGCCAAGGACACATTTATCTCTCAACAAAATTAGAAGCTTGAGAACGTTGCTCCTTCCTTGGGCTTAGACTTTAAGGAGTCTTTAAAATCACCCACCTTTTTCCTCTCTTGATGAGTTCAGAGCAGCTGGCACTTCTAGACCATCTGTCTTTTCTTATTAGGATCTCTTCACACAAGTGACTCAATAGGTGTTATTCCTTAGTTATTTCCTTGGCATCACGTTCTTGGTTCCTAAGGAGACATTTTACTCTGTCCCTTTTTCTTTTTCTTTTTTTTTGATGTTAATTTTTAAAAATTATACTCTAAGTTCTGGGATATATGTGCAGAACATGCAGGTTTGTTACTTAGGTATACACGTGCCATGGTGGTTTGCTGCACCCATCAACCCATCATCTACATTAGGTATTTCTCCTAATGCTATCTCTCCCCTTGCCCCCCACCCGCCAACAGGCCCCAGTGTGTGATGTTCCCCTCCCTGTGTCCAAGTGTTCTCATTGTTCAATTCCCACTTATGAGTGAGAACATGTGGTGTTTGGTTTTCTCTTCCTGTGTTAGTTTGCTGAGAACGATGGTTTCCAGCTTCATCCACGTCCCTGTCCCTTTTTCTTTAACAAGTCTCTCAACTCACTGGCTTACTCTCAAGGCAGCCTGTTTGCTTCCAGTACATGAGGTCAACCTGATCTCTGGGCAGCACTCTGTTTTACATCAGCTTTCACTCCCTTCACTGACTTTGGGCCAGGCAAGGCTCATCTTTGGTACCATGCCTGGCTCTTTCCTGGCGAAGCTGCTCTCCACTTTCATCCCATTTTCCCCTCTAAGTTCTGGCTGCCCCTCCTTTACCACCCTCGAAAAAAGTAGCTTCTTCACAATACTTTTATTACTTTATCAAGGACTCTTTTCTCCCTTTTTTGATGTCCTTTCCTATATATTTTTATCATTTCCCTGCTACTCTTCCCTGGTCATCAACTAAATCAGCACTGGTTTCATTTTTGTTTCTCCCAGTACAGATACTCCTTCCCACAACTTTCAGCACCATTCTCTGCAACTTGTCTCCCAGCTGGTTTCTTGGTCTTTTATACAAAACACTAAAGCCAGCCCGGACTGCAACTTCTTTCCTTGGTTATGAAAACCTACGCTTTTGTGATTTGTAGCCCCCGCAAAGAGTTACTCCCTATACAGATTCTCATTTGAATGGTCTAGGGTGGGTCCCAGGCATAAGTATTTTTCAAAGCTCTCTAGGTAATTTTGATTTGCAGCCAAGGTTGAGAACCACTACCTATGTATCTGTTTTGCATATGAATCAAGCGTGCCCATGTTATTTGCATCCAGACAACATGAATAAACTCCACAGAAAGATCAGACTGCAGTGAGCTGCCTCTGCAGTTAGATTTTAGATTGATCCTTCCTTCATCAGTTGCTTAAAAGTTCTTGACTTCTCTCATCATGTGGCCAGGATGCACTTCTCAAAATAATTGACTCCACAACTGAAGAAAAGTTTTCTGATTCTTCCAGGCTGATGATACCTGCTCCATTTTCGTTGTTCACCATCATGATGGTCATGTCTTTGCCTTAAACTCAAATGGAAATGTACCTCTTTTAATCTAAGCCTGTTTCTTTCATGTTGGCCCCTCTGTGCACTAGAAAAAGCCAATAAGCTTCTCTTTCATAAATGGGGGGAACTATTGAATACGTGAATCAAGTCGCATTTTAGCCTTTTGTTCTCTGGTTAGAGAGTCCCCAATTAATTAATAGAAAAAGAGATACCTAAACTGGAAGGAACTTTAGGGATCTTCTAGTCTAATATTTTCAAACTTTATTTTTAAGCGGTAGAATCATATTATTAAATGCCATCTTAAAATCGATACAGGCAGAGCTGCTTTGGGGGAAGTGTTCTGGGAGACTTCCGGTATGCTGTCGTAATTGAAGCACCTAAAAAGTAAAAAGGAACGTTGGTATTTTGCAAAATGGAGTTTACAAATCTATTTTGTGTTCCTTAATTTAAATTTTATAAACAAGAAAGCTGAAGTTAAGGAGCTTTGTGTGGATTTAAAATTTTCTAGTAATAGTAGACTTAGTACCTTGAAGTAACACTATTAAAAAGGCTTAATGAGTAGATACAGGGAAGTTTGTTTTAAGCTTTGGTTCAATAACAACCAAGTCTTTACTTTACTCATGATAAGCCCAGACATAGATTGTATTCCCACTAATGAAAAAGTACCAAGGACAGGAGAGTGGCTAATGTTAGGGAATATAAATAAAGCTCAAATGCAAAGAATGATTGAAATTCTGTTCCAAAGCAACCCCAAGAGCCTCCCAAACTCTTCATGATGTCCTCTTGGTGAAGCAGCTACGTGCTCCCGAAGGGTATCACCCTATTCCTGAAGTCTGAATGATGGCTGGAAGACCATTACTTTTCTTTTCTAGCCAGACACTATTCTCTGACTTACAGCATTGAAGGTAAAAATTGAACTATCAAGACCCCCTTCCAGACTCTGGATCTTGACTTTTAGGGAGCAAGAGGACGATAAGATTCTATTGATAAGAAAGTAAAGAGCCTGCACATGAAAACTGTGTTCCTAGATACTTCAATTATTTCTTTCTCTCTCTTCTCTTACTACATTTCTTTTAAGGGAGGCAACTTTTAATTATTCTGATTTGTTTTCTTTGTGTTTCTTTTCCTACCTTTCTTCTCCAGGAATGTCCTTCAGTTCATAAAGGATGAACAAGCCTAGAACTAACAGAAGAACCTAGGTAATATGACAGGGTAACATTCAGTCCCACGAAAATGTATTACGTGGTCAGACTATGGCATAAGAGTATCCTAAAAAATATAGTAATTTGGAATTTTATCAAGCAAGTCTTCTTTACAAGTTCGAACAGCATTTATTAAGTGAAAAGGCCATGCACTTATGAGGAAACAGAGGAAAAGGATGGTGCTCCTGGTTGATCTCAGTCTTATCTTCAGCAATTCTGCTCCAAATAGGCACAGCCCATGCAGTGAAATAGCCACTTCATGGATAGGTGGACCTGCCAGTCCCATCCCCTTGATGGCAAGTTACTGGTCATCTATCATCTGTGGTTCCTTGGGCCCACCCTTTGTTTGAGGTTGGGGGGCAGTGAAGTATTTACCTCTGCCCGTCATCCTAAGCAATTTATCAAAATGTTCCTTACAAAGACATGTAGAGATATATTAGTGCCTCCTGTGAACTGGCCATATCTTCCTAATTGAAGCCCCTTAATCCACTGCTTGTTAGGTACAATATGTATCATAGGAGCTTAGTTAGAATGTTCCCTGGAGCCACAGATTTATGGTTCTCTGTCTCTAATCCCATGGGATTAAGATTTCTCACCTGCCTATCTTTCAGTTTCTGGTAAGAGTCTAGCTTCATAGCCTTTCTCTCTTAGGAGGATTTCCTCTAGCATAGCTCTTTCTAGATGCCAGGTAATGTCCTAAGCTCTTAACAGTTTTTATACCATTCATTCCCTTATAACAGTGTTGCAATATAGCTAAATTTTTTATCACCACTTTACAGATAAGGAAACTGAAACTTCAAGAAAATAAGTAGTCTTTCTGAGGTGAGATGGCAGTGCTAGTGGAAATGTGGTTTGAATTAAGATAGATGAACTTTAGAGTCCACAAGTCTGTCCATTTCTCTGAGCTGACTTACTGTAGTACTTTCTGGAAACCCCGCTTATTTCTATCTGAAAGTTTTCCATAAAATTTCCTGACGATCTTTCCAGTTGCCTTTTCTCTAATAAACAATGTCTTTTTTTCTTAATCCTAATTCTCCATGTGCTTTATAAAAGTACATACTCAACTATACCCACACTGTGCATTATAGGAGAAAAATAAGTTGAGCCCCTGGAAATTTCCTTTTATTCTTGTGCCTCATCATTTTCCTCATGTGTTATATGTATATATGTATATACACGAATGTGTGTGTATGTGTGTATATGTGTATATATATGTGTGTGTGTATATATATGAGCGGACAATATGTTTAACTATTAAACATCAGCTTTTTCAAAAATATTGAAAATAATATTTGGAAATATTGGAAATAACCAATTTTTTCAAGATTAAAGTGTATTAAGTCTTTTTAAACCTGAGTAATTCTTAATTTAAGAACATTAGCAATTTGATGAATGTATTTTTCAAAGTCTTTACCAAGTCATTGATAAAGACATAGAATCATTTTGATCCTGGTAGACCACCTGTGACACTTCCTCTAAGATTAGTCTTAAGCTTTTAGGTATTTTGGAGGGAGATCAACTATTTTACTACCTAACAGTCCTGGAATATTCCAAACCTTCCTATGATATTGTCACAAGGGTCTAAAATTTAACAGAAAACTTGTATAACTTGTACATTTTTTATGCGGTCTCAAAGTTTCCTAAAAATGGAAACTCAATTGTTAGTGGCATGATTTAATTTTTACACTGCCAAATGACTTCCACTTATGATCTTTGAATCTTTTAGGGATAGATTATTGTGTGCTGAATTGTATTAGTCTTTTTCCAAATTTTAATATTAAATTGACCAGTTCTTAACTTTATGGGTTAACTTCCCTAGAAATACTTCTAAGATTTCTATGGGGCCTATAGTTTTCTCTTAGTATCTAAGGGTACATGATATCAGATTCAGTTGATTTAAATATATTACATTTGGGAAGTTTTGTTTTTTTTTTTTGAGATGGAGTCTCGCTCTGTCGCCCAGGCTGGAGTGCAGTGGCCGGATCTCAGCTCACTGCAAGCTCCGCCTCCCGGGTTCACGCCATTCTCCTGCCTCAGCCTCCCGAGTAGCTGGGACTACAGGCGCCCACCACCACGCCCGGCTAATTTTTGTATTTTTTAGTAGAAACGGGGTTTCACCGTGTTAGCCAGGATGGTCTCGATCTCTTGACCTCGTGATCCGCCCGTCTCGGCCTCCCAAAGTGGAAGTTTTTATTAAATATATATGTACAGAAATGTGTATTTATATGCACACACATACATATGCATATAATATACATTTTGGTGGCATCATTTCTCCCATCAAAACTTGGGCATCTCATAAACTCAATAGTAAACAAAGAAATAATTAAATAATGGGCAAAGGACATGAATAGACATTCTTGCAAAGACATACAAATGGCCAACAGGTATATGAAAAGGTGCTCAGCATCTCTAATTATCAGGAATATGAAAATCAAAACCACAACGAGATATTGCCTCACACTTGTTAGGATGGCTATTATCAAGAAGATGAGAGATAACAAGTATTGGCAAAGGTGAGGAGAAGAGGAGAATCCTGTACAGTATACTGTCATGCACTGTATTAGCCATTATGGAAAACAGTATGGAGGCTCCTAAAAATAAATAAAACTACTGTACAATCCAGCAACCTTACTTCTGAGTATTTATATGATGGAAATGAAATCAGCATCTCAGAGATACCCTGTTTCTCTATTTTCATTATAACATTATTCACAATAGCCAAGAAACGGAAATAACCTAAGCGTCCATAGATGGATGAATGGATAGAGAAGGTGTGATACACACACAAACCCACAAATATTATTCAGTCCTAAAAAGAAGTAAATCTTGCCATTTGCAACAACATGAATGGACCTGAAGGATATTAGGCTAGGTGAAACAAGCCAGATACAGAAAGACAAATAGTGTATGATCTCATTCATATGTGGAATCTAAAAAAAAAACTCATAGAAACAGAATAGAATGATAGCTGCCAGGAAGTAGGGGTGGGAGAGTAGGGGAGATATTGCTCAAAGGATATAAATTTTCAGTTATATAATGAATGAGTTCTGGAGGTCTAATGTACAGCATGGTGACTATAGTGAATAATACTGTACATATACTTGAAATTTGCCAAGACACTAGATCTTAAGTGTCTTTACCACCCCCTCAACACACACACAGACATGCACAGTGGTAACTAAGGGTGGTGACAGATGTGTTAATGATTGCAATAATCATTTCACAGTGTGTATGTATATATTAAATCATCATGTTGCATACTGTGTATATACACAATTTGTATCAGTCAATTATTCCTCAATAAAGCTAAAAATCATAATAGGCATATTAACTAACAATTTGCATCTGAAGGACAAGGACTGGGAGAGGAGAAATAAAATTGTCAATCTTTGCAAATTGTGCTGATTACCTTCCATTTTCCCCTTTGCATCCTCATTCCACCCACTGTGTTTTACTCTGTGCTTCAGAAGACTGATCTGAATGAATTGTATCAATGTGTTTATTTTCTGACATTTATTTGAATTTAGCCAAAATGACACGCCAGTATGATATTAGAGGGTTAGTGGGGAGAGAAGGTAGGGGTATGTGTTTTCCTGGTTTCCTCCCCTTGTCCCTCTAACAAAGGCCATGAATCCTGCCAGGTGGCCCTCCCCATAGCTGTTTTCTGAAATTTAGGTAACTAGTCCCCTTCTTTGCCCCTTCGGGTCTGGTGACCAGTGGTACAATTTCTATTCCCAAATCAACCACCTACCCAGGTCCCTAGGTTACTAACTCTGCTTTTTGCATTATGAATTTTTGATTTTCTTAAGCCTTGCCCCACTTTGTAAACTTTTAAAAAAGTTCTCCTCAATTACTCTGTCTTAGGGTGCCATTTACTTCCTGCTGAGATCTTGATGAGCACACAAATGATATGATTCTGTACGTAGAAAGTCTGAAAGAAGCTACCAATGAGAGAAGAAAGCAAGATTGTTTTCAAATGTTTGTTATGCAAAAATAAGTTATATTTCTATATCCAAAAATAGAAAATGAGAATCTTTAAAATATATCATTTAAAGAAGCACCAACTCATTTAATGTACTCAGAATAAACCTAAAAATAACCTCTAAGATTTTATGAAAAAAACTGTAAATCTTTCTTGACATTTTAGAAAATCTGAATATGAGGTATATTAT